GGATTTGAACCGCCAGCCTTCTGGTTAGCAGTCAAGCACCTTAAGCACTATGCTACCAGAGCTAGTGAATTTTATTTTGTTGTGAAGGCTGTTTTCTACTTTTGTAGTATGATATTTTAGCTTCTGACTTTTTCATAGGACAGTTTTTTATATTAATGATAAAATACAAATTAGATATTAATAGTGCATAATTGTTTTATAATTATAATTATGTTGACTATGTGAATGATGGATGTCCAGCAAATAATAGTGCTATTTGTTTTACTTTGTTTGGGATTTGCACATTCTGTATATAATAGGAAATGTTTAATTTCATCCTAAATGTATTATGAAAAACAGCAGACCAAAGTCTGTCCTGTTTTCTTAAAGTAGAAAATATATTGATGTTTTGCATTGCTCAGGTAACCTATACCATATTACTTGTTGCAGATAATATAAAAATTGACCCAGTTTTAAGTCATTTTTTTCCTTTGTTCTTAGACAGCAAATTTAAAGGCCTCCAGTGGGTGATAGATACTACTATAGCTTATCCCAAAGCTGAACCTTTAGATATTCAAACCTGGATTCTTGGCTACAGGAAACCAACAGTCACACATGTACATTACAGGTAGGACTTCCATGTTAGTACTCAGTACATATCTTGTATAACTCAGTATAATATGCTACCTTGGGAAAATGTGCATGTTTTAACATTTAATTTTCGATCAGACAGTGGAAATAGTTGGCTCAGAAATAATCCTAATGTTGACTTTTTAATTTGATAATTTCATTTAACGTCATTGCTGAATTTAAATAAAGGCCTCTAGAAATGGCATTCTGGCGCAACTATGATTATTCAGTTGGCTGACACTCTTGAGTAAGTAAAAGTAAATTTATCAAGGATAAATATATTCACTTGGGTTAAGTAAATAGATATTAATGGAAATGGATTATTTTAGGAAAAAAATCATTAGGACACATCAATTTTTCTAAGTGATTAAATTGATGGTAATTTAGATATAAATTATACTTTAAAATTTTTAATATTTTAATATGCCTTATGTCATATTTGCATAAATAATCACAAAAGCATCTAGTGAATACTCTGTGCTAACTTCTTGACATATTTTTATGTAAATTTCTTTTTTTTAAAGAGACTTTATGTAAATGTGTGTAGGTATGATATCAAAGCATGGTACTGATAAAGCCTGAATAGATTTTATTATTTTATAGGCCATTTAATTTTATTTTGTAGTCAAAGACCTCATGCCATATAACTTAACAAATGTAAGGATCTGGTCCCAAGGAAGATCCCAATTGCTATAAAAGCCCTCAATTCAAGAGAAAAGCTACCCAAGTTATATATCCATTCATAGTAGATAAGTACCATATTTTCATATATAAGAATAATTAGAGTTTTACAAATATAAGAACAGAGTTGGAAGAATTTTAAGCTTAACTATTATAGCTTGGGTTGTACTGTGTGAGAATGATTACAAAATTACAGTTGATTCTAGTGGGTGAATTTGTAGTGCTGAATCATGAAGTCCCTATGTAAGATAAGAAAGTAATTCTTAATGACTATTTGCTGACACCATTCCACAATATTTTGTCCATTTTATTTAACTTATTGAGCACTTACTGCATATAAGGTTGTGTGCCAGGCTCTGGAAGAAATTCTCTCAGGACAGTTATATTTTCATATATATGAAACATATCTATCTTTCAGTAAGTTTTTAAGTTCTAATTTATAAATGAAGCTCAATTCTAATGCTCGAGCTAGGAATACATGACTGTTGGATATGTGCAGGCACTGGGTAAGTGTAGATCTGCCTAGCGGATCATACCCAACGGGAACTGAGACAAAGGAGAAAACATTGTATTGACCTGCTATCATAATTGACCCTGCTTTTCTTTTTTAATCCATAAGTAGAGAAAATTTTAGTTTATAGCTGTTGTTGTTATGTGCCGTGGAGTCAGACTCAACTCACAGTGACGCCTCCTTGGGTTTCTGAGGCGGTATCACTATGGAAATAGATTGCCCAACCTTCCTTCTCAGGAGTGGCTGGTGGGTTTGAACTGCCAGCCTTCTGGTTAGCAGTCAAGTGCCTTAGGCACTGTGCTACCACTCAGGTAAAAAAAGAGAAGAGAACCATAAAAGATCTTAAACGTTTAAGGAAAATTTCATTTTTAGCAAAATTACTTTAACAGGAGCAAGTCTAAGGCTCTTTGATTCACTTGAAGGAGAGGTCTTATGAATGGGCCTCAGACAATATTTGAACTAAATCTCTATGCAAAGTTTTATGTATGCTTAAATTTTTTTTGCAGAGAAAATTCATAGCTTTCATTTTATTCTTATAGGGATCTATGACCAAAAAAGATTAAGGACTCCTAATATAAAGATCAAAAGCAAATAGTAGATAGAAAATGAGGAATGGTTAATTTGGTACAAAGAGAAGCTTTTCAAATATATTTCTTTATACAAACTCTATTACCAGGCATAAACATAATACATAAAATTCCAAAGTATTAGATGATCAGAGATTAAGTTATAATGTAGAACTATACCCAAAAATATTAAATAAAATGTAATTCATGCCCAATTATTATTTATTAATGTCTACACATGCATACATATGTGTGTGTGTGTATATATATATACCCTAAGTGTCTTGGGAAAGGTGAGGAGACATATTTTCCTTTTCTTCCCAGAAATGTAATATAGATCTTTGTCTCACCAATGTTAGGAAAGGGGAAGGACCTATGTCTAATAGGAAAAGCAGGACAAATGAAAGGGGAAAGATAGATACCTGGTCTTAGTGTACCTGTGTTGTATCAAGAGAGTTTTGAGGTTTTTCAAGAAGCTTGTAAGAAGGGAAAAAGGTCATATCTTTAGCAGTCACCGGGAATAAGTGTTTATCAACTATAGGTTGACTGAATCCCCTCATGCATTGTTCTAAGCCATCAGGACACCATGGGAAACAGGGAGAGAAAGATTGGTTTGAGTTCAGACTCTCCAATTGTTTGGTAATAATTAAAATGTTTTAAACAAAGGATCAGATATTTCCAATTAGAATAAGAGGTTTAAAGTACAATATTAGAATCATATATACTTGAATGTTAAAAGTATAACAGGGGTTGGATCCTTTTTGTCTTTTAATGTGGTTAGTTAGTGAGAAAAACTGGCCAACACTGACTGTTGAAAGAAGGAATGGGTTACCCTGAAGAATAGGAAAAGGTGGTCTGGAAACTATAAAGTTCACTGCAAGGCAATAGCTTGGTTTTGCTTGGTGTTGGCTTACTTACCTTTACCTACAGGCAGATCTTAAAAACTATTCATGAAAGGTTTTTTTTTTTTTTTTTTTCCTGCACTTAAACATAATTTTATGCAGAAAAAATTTTTAAAAAGTTCCTTCAGAAAAAAACTAGCAAACAAACAAAAACAAGGTTCTTGCAAAACCTCAAAAATTAACCTTATCTAGAATGTTACTATTAAGCCATATGGTGCAAACCAGTTTTACTTCAAATGATACAGAAAGGATTTATTTCCTTTTTAACCCTAGCTGACTTTTTAAATAAATAAATAAAGTCACCCTCTTTCTTAAAGAATTTAACTGAAGTGATCACTTAGTGACTATGGTATAGCTGGGCAAGCTAGTGCTGCTGCTAGTTTTTCAGTATAATCTCAGAGTCAGAAAGTATTCTATTACGTTCAGTATTAATCAGACCCCACTTAGAATATTTCATGTATTTTAATTTCTCCATTTTAAAAGAAGTAATAGTTAGTAGAAGGTTATATTGTTGTTAGATGCCACTGAGTTTGTTCTGACTCATAGTAACCCTGTGTATAACAGAACATAACACTGCCTGGTCCTGTGACATCCTTGCAGTCTTTGCTATATTTGATCTCATTGTTACAGCCATTTTGTCATTCCATCTCATTGAAGGTCTTCCTCTTTTTCACTGAGCCTGTACTTTACCCAGCATGATGTCCTTCTGCAGGGACTAGGCCCTCCTGATAACATGTCCAAAGTACATGAAACAAAGTTTTGCCATACTCACTCACTTCTAAGGAGCATTCTGGCTCCATTCTTCCAAGCAGATTCGTTTGTTCTTCTGGCAGAAGATTATGAAAAGAGCTAATATAGGTGTTTTCCTTCAAATTGTTGTACACTTGTTGTTGTTGTTGTTATATGCCATCGAGTCGGCCCCGACTCATAGCGACCCCTCCTTGGGTTTCCGAGGCAGTATCACTACGGAAGTAGGATTGCCCAACCTTTCTTCCGAGGAGTGGCTGGTGGGTTTGAACCGCCAGCCTTCTGGTTAGCAGTCAAGTGCCTCAGCCACTATGCTACCAGAGCTAGTACCACTTAAAAGACAGATCAAATCAAAGCAAATTCAGAGGTGGTAGTAATCAAATGAAACTTAAACTTCTAAAAGAAACTGCAGGTTCACTGCTTAGACAAGTAAGGAGTTTAACATTTCCCAAGTACTAAGTCTATAATTAGTTCCTATATATTTGAGATACTTTTCTCACATTTGAGGTAAGCTTGGATAGAGGGCAATAACTTTCCTCTCCTGTGTAGTACCTTATGGTGCCTGCTGAGAGCCATAGACTGCCTCTGAAAGGCTGGGTACTGTATTCTCATGCTGTAACATTCCTTTCCATCAGAATTCACTTGGGACACAATATAGCTGGTGCAATTTATTTGCCATTAATCAGTGGTTGGGCCATTTATTATTTCCTTAAATAATTTATTTCCTTTCTCTTACTAGAAATCATTGTCAAGGCTGGCCAATAAGTGTAGCTCTCTGCTCCGTATTTCTTTTAATTAGAACATAATGTAGCAGATGAATGGAGATCTCTGAGCAAGCATAGCTTTGTTTTCCCTACAAAGTTGACTCCCTTCATATTGTTACTAATGTTAAGTGCTTAAAAAGTGTTAGCTCTTTATTTATATAGGAAAAGGATATCTAGATGACAAGAACATGTAGTAGAATGTTCTAGATTGTAAGTTTTTGTATTGACTTTTAGGAAAACAGCATACAGATGCATTAGCTTGTTTTAAGAGCTCCAAAATAAACTATCTTTTCTTCTAACAGTTTTCTACATTTTAATTCATATATTTACTTCTTAGGCTTATGTTGATTTTTGAGATTGATGGAAGAGATATAATTCACATATGCATATTTTTATATGCTGTGAAATACTTTCTTAAAATACCACATAAATGAGAATATGTAAATTGGTGACAGAGTTATATACTGGGTCCTGTCATACAAATATGTAGTGTTGTTGTCTTTCAAAGGTTGAACAACAGATACTTGGAACCTATTCCTTAGAAACCTTGTGGCAAATAGTGATTAAGTGCCTGGGCCACGTTTCTAATGAAACCGTAGTATATATACCTCCCCAGGCAGCCCATCCTAAGATGTTGGTTGCCCTTGGCTTCAGTGAATTAATTGTTATGAGCACCAAATTACATGTGTATAAAAAACTACAAAGCATCTTACAAATATAAAGCATTATTATTAAGATATGTAATTGTTGTTAGGTGCTGTCGAGTCATTTTTCGACTCATGGTGATCCCATGTACCAGAGTAGAACTGCCCCATAGGGTGTTCTAG